CTATTGTCACGTGATGATCTATCCCATATCTGATTGGTTCTATTGAGTGTCTTGTGTTCACGCCCGTTCACGCACGAATCTAATTGGCTCATTTGATTTCCCGCGCATACGTCATCCGCTACAAATCCATCCGATTTCCCGTCGATCTTAACTACGTTTTGTCATTTTGTCGCGGCGCTGGAGGCGGAAGATTTTCGCGGCTCTTTGAAATCGTAGATTTTATACCCTCTATAACTCCGTTAATATCAATTTGCGCAGAAAATGGTATAAAAGAAAATTATCATAGAATGATGTGTTTTACCACATGGTAAGCCCAAATTTAAAAAATTAGGTGTGGGGTTGCATTTCCAGTAATACCCAGATGAATGTATCAGTGTAGTCTTACTCGTGGTAGAGAAAGAAAAGAAGGTCGTATCTCTAATGGGTGACTTTAACTTACAAGGTGATTCCTTGATGTATGTTCCTGACTTCACATCATTTCTCCATAGCAAATTTGTGTATTGCACAATCATCGACTCAATTCATGACACTCCCACTTCAACCACCTTAACTGACCATATTTGGATAAATACCGTCAACAGTATCTCTTCCAATGGAATTTTCCATTTTTCTTGTTTTGAAATAGATGCCCATAATCTCATACACAGCAAAATGACAGATGATAGTATTGAAAAAATAGAAAACGACATAGACACCAAAAATTTGTTTTTTTTTAAACAAATGGCAATTTATAGGCTTTATCTGCATTGCCAAATACATGCGATTATTTCAAGGCGATGAGTGAAACATCTGCGTTGTCGGGCGTACGAAATCCCATTGGTTCAATGTGTCATACTGTTTGAACAAAACCAGTAGTCACACACATAGCACGACGGTTTCTTTACATATATAAGAAATAATATAATTATATGGTACACCTGATGCCACAGCATATGCTAGGATTATGGGTTATAACTCGACTGTCCGAAAAACAACTATTTTACTGCATTTGAGTAGCTTACTTAATTGACTTCCACATTCCTACAATGCTATATCTGTGATGTTCAGGATGTTCATGAACTGGTGGTGTTGATCATTACAATGGTTTAAGGTAATACAGTAATAATAACGATTATAATAAAGAATAATAATGACAATGTCATTAAATAATAATTGACGATTACAGTAATGACAATAGTAAAAATGTATATCAATGGATTATTTCATTAATTACGTCGACTATTCCTGCTTTATTTTGTTAGTAGATATCAATAGGAATCTCTTGATTCCTAATGGATTTGAAGATGCAAACTGGTTTTAGAAAAAATATATACTTATTATTTCTGTAACTATAGTTGATAACATTAATAGTGAGAATAATTATAATTATAATGATAATAATAATAATAATAATAATAATAATAATAATAACAATAACAGGTATCACCAGTGTGCTTGAGCAAGAGGTGCTTTTAATGTAATTTTTCAAGTGAATATTCTTACTGCATCAGTGACCAATATTTTATTATTATTGCACTCTAGATGATAGAAACATGGGCTTCACCAGTGCACTTGAGAAATAGGTGATTTTTATGGAATTAGTCATGTGTATATTTTTTCTGTGTCAGTGAACCTATTTACTTGGTGGGGGTTGTGCGCTTTCAGAGTGCTTCTATCGATATTATATTATTGCTATTGTTGTTGTTAATATACATAATTATTTATATATATCGTATATCATCTACATAGAAAGCAAGGAGAAACAGTAATATCTTAGTTTTTGTGAAGCTTTACTTTACTTTTTGTAAATCTCAAAAAATACACGAAGTGTATTTAGTATTCGCGTAAATTCTTGTTTCTTATTTTAAAATAATCATAAACAGTCTCTTACAAGTCAATAAATATGTGATCTAAAGAAATTCAAACGATTGTTTATTACTCATTTCTCAGTGCTACCATGATGTCAAGTTGTATTATGTTTTATTGACTCTTTTGAGCCTAAGTATAATTATAATTTTCTTTTTAACCTTATACCATTATACACGTGATTAATTACAAGATATATTTAAAATAATCCGTAAATTACCAAATGAAAAGTTACAAAAAAATATTTGGCATTTGACTTATTCTGCGATGGATCGCGCATGCGTATTGACGAGCTGAATGGACAGACAAGTTAGTACGCCTGTGTTGGCGGGGCGTAGGCTTGAAATTATTTGAAATTCGGCAGCAAAAAATCAGAATTGTAACAAAAAAATGCAGATAAGGTCGCCGCATATGAAACCTTTTGCTTATCAGTATTTTAAAATCAAGTAACAATATATATAACTACTGTAATTTAAAATAAGAAAGAAAAAACATACCGTGCATCACGAAATATAACATAAAAAAGATAAAAACAGCCAAAGCAAACTTCGGGCGATATGAAGAAAACGCGGTCAGTCAGAACATAAAACAGCCAAACAATACTTTGCAACCTTCAGAAGGAATCGATCGTGTAATATGTCCTCTGAATTCCATT